TGCAACGGTTGTAAGTGCGAGTACAGGTTGTAAAGCATTTTTCTGAGGCCATTGTAACTTTGAACTGTTGTTAAATGAATGGTTGTTAAGTAAGGACTACCTGTAAGGGGTCAAACTTCACCTACCTGGTGGCCTCCATATAGGCAGGAATCACCAGTCCCATAATTTGCAGTGAGCATAACTCAATCAGAAACTCTGGGAATTATAATCCTAACATACTTGGAAAGTACCAGGTTGTAGAAAATTACTAAATTTATGTTGGACAATAATTTGGAAAAATTGCTTCAAACATTGAGAAAGCATAGCACCTCTCTCCCATTCAATAAAACTGCCCAACTTTTTTTACCCTTTTGTGCAAAACTGAAAAAAGGCACAGTTGTTTTAAGAGTCACATTAACATTAATGATGGAAATTAAACCCAGTATTTTGAGAACATTCCTTAAAGTTGGCCCATGAAGAAGCTTGAAAAAGGTCAGACTGCATTAATGAACAGCAGAAAAGTTGTGCAAGATCCAAAGCACTTCTTCTGAATCATTTTCAAAGTGTGCACAGCCAGAATAGGTATCATTGTAGCTATACTGAATATATTTAAAGATCATTTTAGAAAATTAAGGAGCGCTATAGTTTACTCAGGGAGAAATTGGTCAAGTACAAGGAAAGGAGACAGTGCTATTTAGGTGCATAGTGGAAAAGCCCAATAAAATTATTTTTTTCCTTTTAAGCAGAGGAGTACAAGGTCAAACATTCTAAGACCAAAACATCCCTTTTGTAGGAACATTCCATTCTGAGATTGGAACACATCAACATCTAGTTAGAGGCATCTGAACATTTCTGGTAATATTTTGAGGTCAAAAAGTTTCACTATCAAAACATTTCACAGGCCTCTATTTGTAAGAAGTTGATCCCCATACCATACCAAAGGATGTGATTCAAATTTTCCTTCTTTTCAAAAGAACTTTACCCTAAAGTTCTCTTGGACATGGGGGTGCTTCTGTTGATCTTGGCTACTGGGGCTACACATGTCTGAAATTCAAGTCACAGCCTTTTCACAAATTATTAATATGACTCTAAATTCCTACATAGAAAACTTCAGTAACTGAAAATATTTTGTGACCAAAATATTTTATATTGAAAACTTAAATGCCCCACAGAACATTCAGAACAGAACAAACCTGCGCTAAGGCTTCCTGAAGGCTTATTTGTAGCTCCAAATCCAAATGATGGTGCACCTGGACCACTGCTTCCAAAACCAGCACTACCTGCAAATCCTAGGACAAACAGTAGTGAAGACAGGGAACACAAGTTAAGGTTCACACACAGGCTGAATTGTTTTTAACCATAATGTGTAGTTAAGTGAAGTTATCACACAATACTTTATCACTAAAACTCCAAAATCTAACTAAACCAAAACATCAACATCCCTTTGATACTCTGCACATATTTATATCAACAGCCCACTGATTGTCTGCATATACTTTTCAAATCTGACCACTGAGCCATGTTAGTTTGTATTAATTACTTATATTGCAATTTTAACTCTTACCACTAGACCTCACACCTCTTCATGCTTTTTTATGAAAATATCTTAAAATATTCCCATATAAGGCATGTATTACAAGTAGTAGCCATTAGTTTGCAATTAAAAAAAATCACACAAGCCTATTCATGGAGCCATTTTGTCATCTTTTCTTGTTACAGGTGACGTATTTTATTCATTTTGCCTTGGCCCAACCAGATTACAAAAAGTAATAGATAAAATTGAAATGCCCATGACCGTTGAGCCTGAGAGCTATAAAACATACTACAGCAATGACTTTTCATTAGATCTAACTCAGCTAATATGGCAGAGGCAGAAATCCACTTATACTCAAATTATTTACCTCAGAAACTTCACAGTGGATCCAGATTTAGTCCCACTTGCTAATCAGATCTCATTTGTTTCAACAGGTCTCTTATGTACAACTAAGGAGGGAATTTATGTTTGCACAAACCCATTTCAGCCCACACTGCTACACATGCTTCGAGAACACTTTGAAGGCACATGGAGGAAAGTAAATCTCTTATTTCAAGCAGAGCAGGAGTAATTGTGGAATTTCTGTTAACACTGGACCCAACCTCAAGTATTATAATTTCTTAAGTGTTTTCCCAGCATACAATAAAAAGATCTGCTGAAAGTCATATGTTCTTAAGTTGCTCTGAAAAAGTTTTATTAGCTATGCACAGGAAATCTTATTAGCATCAGTGACTAGCCTTATTATTGTGAATTTTTTTTCTTTCAAATTTCAGGTTAAACTTTGATATTGTAGACAGATGTATGAACTAATTTTGCCTCCTAGTTAAATCCCAAACTATTCATGTAATAATTGAAGATTGTAAGAACCAGATTTCTTCCATGTTATAGATATGTAGAGTATTGGCTTGGAAAGTAAACATTTATTTCAGTTATAGCACAATCCAGAAAGCTTAATTTCTTTAAAAACTTGTCATCTCAGCAGTCATATTTTTAAGTACATTGCATCATCACCCTCTTGTGGCCCCTTGAAGATGAACACACAGACCTAGGCTTTCCCCCCCAGCATTGTTGGAAAGATTTGTGATAATAAATGGTGTTTTCTGCCATCAACTGCCATTGTTTGTAATGCCAAATATTATATCTGAAAAAAGGCTTTAGGCAGGTTCCATAATGCATGACATCCCTGTACATTGATGTGGTAGTTTGCAGAACAGTTGGAATACTAAGGAAGGTTTGGCTTTCTGCTTGATTTCTGGTAACTAAATGGAAAAGTGAATGGAAATTTTAGGAGGACGCATCTGCCATTTGCTTTTTGGTTGAAGAAACTAGTCCTCTGAAGGGGAAATTATGATTGCAACGTAATACAAATGACAAGATGGGGATTTGTGACGTCTGAAAGGATTTAATAACTCCGATACTTCCATCTACCCTTGATTACATGATAATGTAATATTTCTACACCACTGCTGAGGTTGCGTTTTGCATCATTTTTCAATTTGTTCTGGTTTGTTCAGTATTTTTTATACAAATAAAACTAGCTGAATATGACTTAAACAGCTGTGCATACAAGATTTAAAGAGATAGGTAAGACTGCTGCTTTTCTCAGGAAAAACAGGTACATTGCACTGCTGTGATACAGTAAAGAATACCCCCAATGTTATGTTACTTGAAAAGAAAAAAGATCCCTGTGCTTGTCCACGATCTTAGGAAAATTAACACCTCTCTCGAGGTGTATCTTCTGTGATTAATGTGGTTGCATCAGCTGCTTCTCATTGAAACATATCACCAAAGAGAAAGAAAGTTGGCATAATAATATATTAACACTGTATTTTGGGTTTTTTTTAAATCAAAAATTAAAGTGCAGTTTAGATGCATCCTATTCCATAATATCAAGGCACTTAAACTATAACTGTATTTAATACAGCACAAAGAACATACAATTCAACAGCATTTTAGGAAATAATCTTTGATTCCCAAAATGTCTATTTAAGTAAAAAAAAAAAAAAAACTTTAGAAGCCTAAATGAATTGCAGGAAAAAAAGGTTCCCCCCAACAGAGATCATAATGAAGTAAACAAGAATATGTAACAAAGGTAACAATGCAAATAAAGCATCATGTTTGTGAACTATAAAAAGGTCAAGGGGCACTAAGGTTATGATTTTTCCACTCTCTGAAGAAGTGCTTACAACTGTACGGGGCTTTCTGATGTGAGCTGGACATTGAGAGTAATCAAGGGCTGGTGGATAGATGAGATCCATTAATAAAGAATCCAACTGTGTGGACTTACACATGTAAAGATTAATAATACCAGTGAAGTGTGCTACTAATTCAATTCAGGAAGTGCTGTAGAGTAATTCAGTGAAACATTAGAAAAAAAGTTAAAGGGTACCTCCAAGGCTTGAAGAGCCTAAGCCACTTGACTGCAAGCCAGTGCCAATACCTGAACCGAATGGCGTTCCAAAACTAATTCCCAGAGTCGGCTGTGGCCCTGGTATAAAAAAAATGAAAACAAAGCTTGCCTTACTGTTTCACAACAGAGATCCACGATGTAAACCCTTTCATTAAAACTAAATCATAGCTTAACAAATGCTTTTAGAGCACCCAAGCTTTCTTGAGAATTCTGCCTCAAAGTATCTTAGTGTCTTCAATGGCTAAATTTTAGATTTGGAATGCAATACAAGATGAAACTACTGGTAAACCTATATGTTATGCCAAAGCATGAGATTATGGTTTTATGGACAACTCAGCATGTCATTTTACATTATACTGTCAGCTCCTTGATGGGAGTATATGTGAGCAGCGCTTCTTTTAAAATCAAGGTTTATATTAACACAAATAAAATCATCATGTTACCAATGTCTGGTATTAAAATACTCAGCTGAGTATTTTATCCAGTTTTTTTTAAAAAACAAACGAAACAAGTGGATAAAACACAACACAATAATTTTATTTTATTGAATTTATTTTTCATTTTTGAGCAAGTCAATTACACAGTAACATGACAATTCAAGCTGGATCACACAAAAATGATAGTTACTGAGTTGTTAGAACTTTGCTACATTTACAACAATTTTTGCCTGTTTATTTAAACATTTACATAAAAGGCACAATTGTGTACCTTGCCCAATACATTCAAAAAAATTTCAGATTCAGAAGATTGGAGACAGTGGTTTCCCTACATAAGCAAACTGTCAAAATAGGCTTTATATTATATCATCGTTAAAATGTCTAGCATCAGTCCCGGGTAGGAGGTGGTGAATCTCCTTACTAGCCCCTAGTTATAAATAATATTATACAAAGTTCTGGATTTTTTTCTAATAATTTATACAAGCTACTTGACAGTATTCACAGTACAATGTTTAAGCACAGCAATTAGTGCATTAATTAAACTTGATGGATTTGTCAAGTTCAAATACTGTGCCTGCCTTTTCATATCTGTTTATTCTATCATGCTGAAGGCCAACCATAAAATCTAGAAAATGCTGTTCTAAGAGAATGCAGAACAGCACTTGCTGGATTCCCTTCTAATAATGAATGTCCTGTTGATAATTATAAATCCAATCGTGCAATCATCAAAGTGGAAGGATGAATCAATGTAGTAGTGTCTTTACCAGCAAGTGTTTTACCTAAAACACTCCAGGATTTTTACATTTTCATTTTTTCCTGAATATTTATACTCTCTATTTAAAATACCACCCCACCCCCCGAATTCTACCTCATTATTGCATTATAGTACATTCATCTACCATGATTGCAATTTAAAATAACATTAAGAAAATACTGGTGACAATTGTAGACTTTGATGTACAGGTCAGACAATATGCATGGTCCCTTTCTGGTCTTGTAAAGTTATAAATACTTGAACTTCAAGTTCTCACAACCATTACTTAAAGAAATAATCATATATCAAGCAAAAGGCACTTTTTTAAAATCTTTTGCAAGGAACGTCTCATTCTAGATGACCCAATGCAAAAAAGAGGTTATTATATTTGTGGTAGCATAAGTTAAAGGGCAACTAGTGTTGTGAACTTGCAACTATACTAAACACTTATTTTGGCAAGCTGAGGTTTTATTTGTATTTAAAACACACTTTATAGACATTATCCAAAGACTTTGGGTCAATTGAACTTGGTTTCTATTTTAACTTAGTGAGAATAAGAAAAAAAAACATTGATTTCAAGGAATTAGTTGATTCTGAATCTAACATTTTAAAAGAAGTGTTGCATTTAGAGATGAAACTAGATGTAAACAAATTAATATATTTTAGTAACCAGAAGCTCTTTAAAAAGTTCCCAGTCTGAAGTCAGTTAGGCTCTAAAAGCAAAAAGTGTCCAGTGTTCCACTTTTAAAGGAAGTGTATCAGTTTTCCATCTCAGGAGGAGGCACCATTGGTGGAAGACCTTGAGGAAAATATAATACCAGTCCTCCAAGCCAAACTTGCATCTGAGTATGCTTTTCAGATTTTTAAAACAGTTCAAGACAGACTTATATTTAAGTTTCAGAAGATTTCATAATTCAAGCTGACAAAACTTAACTCAAAAGTAATCTTGAATTGGCACATTCTGCATCAGAAAACCAAATAACCTCATTTAAAAGTTAGTTATCCATACATAATTTAAATAATGCTAGAGATTATCCATGCCAAAACAAAGTAAACATTGTCACCTTTAGATAACATATTATGAATCGTTTAAAATATAAATTATTTGCTGCAAACTATTTAAAATTTGTCACCCTAAAGAGCAGTTTAACTTTAATAAATAAAACTTACTACTATCATATCAAGTAGTAAGTATCACTATTTTCAGTGGGACTTCTTTTAATAATTTATGTTTGGGATCGTAGACTAAGAGCCCTGACAGAGTAAATATTCTGTACTAGGCTTGCCAGATACCATTGTCCAAATTGTTTGATAGCAAAAATAAAGGTGCAAGCACAAATTCTTCAAGTCTAGCCAAGCATCTAATATACTTCTTGATAAAGTCAATTTATCTTAATTTATCTCAATACTGTAGTAAGACCTTGGATTTTCACCAAAATTTGTTCAAACACAAAGTCCAATTTAGTATTCATGCTGAACAGGCATTCATTCCAAGAAATGTTTTAAACTGTACCCTTGGCAAGATAAAATTACAAAGTAAAGCTTTCAGTGCTGGAAGGTGTTAAGAGTACACAACCAGAGGGAAGCAACCTTTGGCCCTTGAGACTTGCTGAACTACAACTTCTAAGATTTTTCTGACTAGGACTGCCAGAAGTTGCAGTTCAGTAACATTTGGAGGGCAACAGTTTCCCCAACCCTGAGGTAAGATAGCCAATTCTTTAATTCAAGATGGAGAAACACACTTAAGTCTAGCTACCTATATTAAACCATCTTTGCCTGAAAAGTCTTTGATGGTAAAAAAGAGTAAGATTGTAAAAAGGAATCAATAAATTATTAATTTAATTTCTTAATAACCCAAAGCTGGAGCTGGCACTGAATTTAATTCCAAATACTGCTTTAAAGTAGAGCAAACACAATTTCCTACATACATTTAACCATTTCCTAGGCATTGGCTTGTAATTACAAAAATGTTTTAGAACTTTAAAAATGCAAGCTGTTTTAACATTTCATATATGATTAATTGATTATTTTTAATGGCCTTTGTTATATTTCAGAGAAACTTACTTATGTATTGTAGGAAGTCTCTTCAACATCATAAACACAAACATTTTCACATACATCTAATCTCATAACATCAACTTACCATATATTATTTAAACACAAACTGAAAGCCTACTAGATATTATGACTTGTTTGCTATTCTTTGATGAGCGTAAGAAAGCTTCAAGATGGGCTGAAGGTCATAGCATAGCCAGTGCAAAACAATCACTGGTCATCTGTCCAGTGATTGAGTGGTTTGGTTAGTTCACTATCACCTTTCCAAATTTTGTTGACACATTTATTCACAGTTATCCACAACTAAACAATATTATACCACATTACTGCAAGCCCAGAATCTGCAATTTTCTATTTTCATAGCCTAATAAATTTGGAACTGATGGCATAAATCCAAACATTAATTTCCTTTAGCACTAAGATAAATACAAAACATTTGATGCAAATAAGTGCCTTTTGGCATGCGCAGGCATCTTCTACGCATAGAACTGTTCTATATTCTAAACAACAGAAGTATGTGAGAAATTTAAATTAAATCCAACATTTTTATATTGCACAACCACAGCTATAGAATTACATTTTTTCCACAGCAGTAAAAACCTAGTGACAATGCCTACATCACTCATGAGATGCAATCAATGAACGTTTCTTGCTAATGCAATTCTTTCAGTCAGCTACCTGGGTTCAGAGGAACTACTTCTCATACCTGGAACCCCTCTGAATCTTCTCCAGAAGATTGAGGAATACTCTGGAGTAGACTTTGGGAGCAAAGTATGAGGACTATAAAATTAATGGATTATTTTACTTCTAGGTAAAGATATTTAGGATTGTAACAGCAGTTTCTGCAGCATTATTTCAGTAACTTTGGGGGGAAATCTTAACAAGACTACAGTTTTGGTACTTAGAGACTAAGTATTTCCCCCTCTGCATAAAACTGTAAATGCAGTGTAAGGTTATCACACACATCAATACACTTGGAACTGAAGGGTAAAACCATAGCAGATTAAATATGTAGCTATAGTAAAAATAGAAGAATGTATAAATCATGTCACTCTCGCCAAGCTTTATTTGATTCCTCCAGCTGTCAACACCTACTATGTCAATGCTGGAAATACCCTGTAGATCCCATAATTTAACAGCTGTACCTCAGTTAAAGGCTCTCTAGGTAGTAAAGTATGCATGCATATACTACACTACTGTTTGTCAAGTACAGAAAACATACAGTGCAGCTCCAGAAGAAAGACCCAAGCATATTCTTAGGTATGTCTGGAAGAGACTACGCCAATATAAACTAGGTCCCTGTTGAGTTCTGCATCATACTTAGACATTAAAGTAGTTCTAGTTTCAAAATGTAACCTGTAAATCCAGAACTCTTAAGCAGTCATTCATTGTCTATTTTTCAAGCAAGACTGCATTGGATGGCCAATAGAGTATATTTTAAAGAGGAAATCAACACCTCTCCCCTTAATTTCTATCCATGCTTACTTCCCAGTGACTGTTATTTCAAAAATAACTTTATTATTTTTTCTATACATAATTTTTGAACTTAATCATCTTTGAACTTTAGCATCTTCCTGCTGGATCTATTAAAAATGGCCTTTATGCTCTTCTATCTTTTGAGGCTTATTCCAACAACAAAGTGCTATGTAAAAACAAATAAAAAAATAACTTGTAATTTTCCATGAGAAAAACCATTCTAAATTAGACTTCTAAACAAATTAGAAAAGTTCATACAATGCACCCTAATTTTTGATGGATGTTATCCTATGCATATTCAGAGGTGACAGACTCACATTTGAAAGGGTTGAGTAATACAGTAAACAAAACTATTACAAGGAAAATCACAAGATTAAATACTGGATGTGTAATTATTGCTAAGTCTAGCCTGCATTTTCTACTACCAATATTTTGATGTACTGTAATTCACAATTTTTAGATTTCCAAAACAAAGGAAGACCTTATATAAAACATCATACCAGCTTATTATTGTTGTAACACTAAAAGCTATAACTTGAATGCACTCAGACCTGTAGCAGGCTGTTGCTGCTGTGTAAGTGTTGCAGCCATGGCAATGGCTGCTGCATTTGGTATGTTGCTGAAAGGAGTAGGTCCAGTTGTAACTCGTGGGGCAGTCTGCCATTTCTTCACTTCTACTCGCCTTGCCTCAAACACATCCACAGCATCCCCTAAAAAGGTTTTTCTGTATCCAAGATATTGGTCTTTGAGCATCTGAACAGAGACAAGAAAACTATTTTACATTGCATCGACCTTACAGAATTTTCCTATTCTGAAAATTATTAACCCCATTATTCCACTAATTAAAGATGCTCACTAAAATATTATCTTTTATTAAAATTATATGGTACCATAGCATAAGATTACTATAACTAATAATACAGAATAATACCCTTTTTACAGGCAGGCACTATACTTATTTAATCATTTTTGGACACTTATGGCCGCAACAGGTGTGGCAATGATATGAAGATGTCCTCATGGGGGTAGAATTTTCAGATTCTTTTTCACTGATTTTTCATTTGCATGTGTTTTCAATAAAATTGTGATAAGGATACCAGAGGTTTAATATACATATTGCATTGGTTATTTACTTCCAAATAGCAGAAAATCTCTCTTTACTCAAGATTTGTTGCCAAATTTCTGGAGCCTGTTATTGGGGCTGCAGATTGCTAATGCAACCCCTAGGCTTCATATTTCAGTTTAAAACAGTAATGCGTTATACATAACCTTTAGTTTGTTCAAGTCCTTTTAAAAAAGCTTGGATTTTCTGCTTTTTACCATTTTGATGCCAAAGTTTACTCTGTTTTGATTTTATGTGGTCTATGAGGTCTTTTATTTGATGCTTTCCTATTTTAGTTTGTGGTTTAGTTGCACTGTAGTTTTTCCCATATTTTATTATTGTTCTTGTAATGCTCAGTGTGGATATTTCAATCAGCACAGGGGCAAAGCATGTTGTTGCATATGTATAAAATATAAAATACTACAAGGAACAGAACTAGACCTGATTCAGTCTTTTCCTAGTTGAGTGTACAGTGACTCCAACACTATTTATCTGGTCATAATGAGGACTAATTATACATATTTGTTCTGCTTCAAGGATGAGCCTACTCAAATTTTTCATACAGTCTGATTAAAACAATGAATCATTTATTATCAGATAGATTTCAAAAATGAACTTGTTATACATTAGCAAGTGGATAGAGAACATCTGCCCACCATTCTCTATGGAAGATTAATCTGTCTAATCCTAACCTTAACCACATACACATATAGAACTGTGAAAAATTAACTAAATTTCATATACTCTTAATTTAAAGGCACCTCAAGGAATTTATCAGCACCCTTTTCCTTGTTAAAAGAAAATGAGATATAGGTAGTCCTTGACTTATGACCACAACAGGGATTGGAATATTCGTTGTTAAGCAGTGTAGTCGTTAAGCGAGACATGTGACCACACCCGATTTTATGACCTTTTTTTGCTGTGGTTGTTAAGCAAAAAACCATGGTTAAGCAAATCATGTGGACATTAAGTGAATCCAGCTTCCTCCACTGATTTTGCTTGTTGAAAGCTGGCTGGGAAGGCTGCAAATGGTGATCACATGACCCCAGGACACTGCAACTGTCATAAATACATGCCAGTTGCCAAGTGCCTGAATTTTGCTCATGTGACAGTGGGGATGATAGGACCAGCTGTAAGTCGCTTTTTCTAGCACCACTGTAACTTTGAATGGTCACTAAATGAATGGTTGTAAGTAGATGACTACCTGTACATGTGAAGCAAAATGTATTACTATAGGCTCAGTTAGGACCCATGATACTATCATTTTGTTCTTCCATAAGAAATCAAAAACACAACCCTAAAAGCTAAAATGCAAGTCGTTCAACAACACAAGATAGTCATATGCTATACATTTTATACAATATATGAATACAACTGGAAATACATTTTACCTTCACATTTTCATGTATTGATTGAAGTTGTGCAGCTAGAGCTACAAATGTTTGATAAATTTTCTGCATAGCCATGGATAAATCTATGAGATATGAAAATTTGACAAATAAACCCTTGTTGGAATATAAAATCATAATTCTTACTGCTGCCAACAGAACATACTTTTTATCAATTGTCATGACATTTAGAATCATATATTTGTAGTGTTGGAAGGGACCACGAGGATCATTTAGTCTCAAACCTCCATAATGTGCAGAAAAGTCATTTAAACCATACATGAGAGGTGGCTGTCCAGCCTCTTAAAAACTTCCAGAGAAAGAAAACCCACAACCTCCATAGATAGACTGCTCTACTGTTACAGATTTCATTGTCAGGAATTTTCCCTTATATATAAATGAAATCCAGATAGCTGAAACTTATACCTGTTATATCTGGTCCTAGCTTCTGGGGTGATGGAAAATGGTTCATGACTATCTTCCCCATAGTTTTTCTGTATGTACCTGAAAACAGCTATCATGCTTCTTCAGACTGAACTTCCCAAGTCCTTTTCACCTGTTCTCAAGTCCCTGTGTCATTTTTGTTGCCCACCTCTGAACCCTTTCCAACCTATCAGTATTATTCTGGAAATGGAGTGCCCGGAACTGTATGAAACATTCCACATGTAGCCTCACCACTGCTGAGTAGAAAGGAATAATGTCTACACAGGTTTTTGATACAATGCCTCTTCTAATGCAGCCCAGAACTGCATTAGCCCTTCTAGCACTGCTGACTCATGTTCAGTTTATTATCAATTTCTTCACCCAAATTGTTCTCAGATATGTCATTCTGCTAACCTGGGTGTCAGACCTCAATTTTGTGTCATCCACAAATCTAATAAGCAGCCTATCAATCCCATCATCCAGGTCATTTCTAAAATCGTTGACTGTTCCCTATGGAAGCCCATTTGTTACTTCTCTCCAACTTGATGTATAGCAATTAATGCTGACTTTCTGAGTGTAGTTAGCCAGTCAGTTATGGACCCACATTACTGTAATATCATCCAAACCACAATTTAACAGCTTGTCACTGAGAATGTCCTGTGGAACTTCCTCAAAATCAAATCTTTCCTCTTAGGATATATAGGATTACCAAATTATGCAGAGGGGAGAAGAACCCTAGCTTTTTGTGTAGGAAAGGTAAAATGCATTATTTTTCTAATAAGAATTTTTTTTTCTTTCTGACTTAATGTTTATATGAATATGCTATGAGGATTCAGTATCTGATAAAGGTAAATACTGAAATGTGAGCAGACTTCAATTATGCTCATTTCTAAGGCTTTCCCTTAATGCTAAGCTTTGCCTTGGATGATCTGGAAAATCTTTCCAAAATAATGAATGCTAGGGATCTATGGAGGAACATGTTATTTCAGATGAAATAACAGATGAGCAGCTTTTGTACAACTCCTTCCTTGATTTAAAATCATAGGCAATGTATCTTCTACTTATACTATCTCATATTAAGCATCTATTTTATCCTTTAAAGGGCTTATGATTATGTTTACTCCTGTAATTTACCAACAAGCCAATCACAGTAATGCCAAGTCAACTGTCTTAAACATCATTTATCTGCACAGAGATTGCTGTTTGCTTACCAAATGCTAAGGTTACTGCATAATGTAACTAACAGAGAAAGATATGAAAACATGTAGTTTTACCTTGTGGTGTTATGTGCGAATTGTTTGCCTGGGTAGCGAGATGATTTTCCAGTTCTTCAATCTGCTGTCTGTACTGCTGTAGTTGTACTTCAAACTGTTCAATCAAGATCCTGAAGTAGCTAGATCAAGTATATTTCAGAACATTTAAGTGATGGATGAGATTAAGTATCACTCTAAAGAAAAGTATAACTATTTTGAAGATCAAGACTATAATAATTGAATTTGCTTTGTTTTTCCTCTCATTTTTTTTTATTTGTAACATACCAAATAAAATAACATACCCAACAAGGCACTAAGAACCTTATTTGTGATTTGTGATATGACACACTAATCACTTCCAAGCACCAGGTAAAGTTATTCCTAATGCATACAATTCCTGCTAAGAATCCAAGGAAACACTCAAATCAAAGGAATTGTATTTCTTGCATAGTGAGCTATAAAAGAAAACGGTTCCGTGGTGCAAAAACAGTGTTTTTGGCACATCTCTAGTAAGAACACACGTTTTAATCTTCTACTTACTCTGCTGGCGCTGTATTTTCATGCTGAAGGCCAGGAGGTGTTTTCTGTGTCCTTAATGCTATCTCAGCATTTTTAAGTTCCTGCAGAAGGAGGAAGAGGAAAATCAGAACTTGTAAGTCCAAAGAGTAAAATTTCCATATAAAATAAATAACTCTGTTTTAAGTAAACTATTTTTCCTGATAATTTAGTTAATATTCTCAACAGTGAATTTTTCCATTATTAAAATCACTGAGGCCAATGGAAAGAAAGCCAAGTAAAAGCCAGGATATTATTTGCACAGTTAGTAAGTAGATCTCCAGGTACCAATTATATTGCATCATTTTCCTGAAAACGAACATAACAAAAACATTGTATCTATTATAACAACTTCACACTACAAATACAGAACTAAATCACTAGAAATAATTAAACCCCAGGCATTATTTTTCCATCCCCAATATAGGTAGTCCTCAAATTACAACCACAATTGGGACTAGAACTTCCATCGCTAAGTGATGCGGTCATTAAGTGAGTCATGCCTGATTTTACAACCTTTTTGCTGTGGCTGTTAAGCAAATCACACATTTGTTAAGCACATCTGGCTTTCCCCATTGCCTTTGCTTTTTGGAAGACCCCTGGGAAGGTTGCAAATGGTGATCACGTGACCCTGGAATGCTGCAAGCATCGTAAATACATGCCAGTTGCCAAGCACCTGAATTTTAATCATGTGACCACAGGAACGCTGTGATGGTCATAAGTGCAAGGACCGGTCATAAGTCGAGGGCCACTTGTAGTTTGTTACAGCATTATTTGTTTTGCTGTTGCCATGTCGCTCACCTGTATCTATTTACCCCAATCACTACAAGGGTCTGAATGAGAATTTATTATTGATGATGTGCTATCAAAGTTGTTGACTCTTAGCAACCTCAAAGATAGACTTCTTCCAAGATGATCGCTCTCTAACTTGGATCTTGATCCCAACAGTTCAGATGTTGCTACTGTAATCGAGCCCATCTACTTTGTTGCTTGTCTTCTTCCATTTCCTTCTGCCTTTCCCACATTCATGGACTTCTCAAGGGAGGTTGGTCTTTGCATAGTATTTCCAAAATGTAATAATCTGATCCCAGTCATTTGTTATTTAAGTGAGAACTCTGAATTGATTTGCTTCTTTTCCTGGCTATTCATGGTATTCTCAAGAGTCTTCTCCAACATCAATGTTCAAAAGCATCAACACCATTTCTACTCTAATATATAGAATTGAAAGTTCAAATTCCAACTTTCACTTTTATATATTGGAAAACCACTGCCTGCATGATTTTGATCTTTGTAAATATAGACATATCATGACACCTGAATGTCCTTTCTAAGGCCTTCATTGCTATCCTATTAGTCTTGACTGCTGGTTCCTTTACTGTTGATAGTTGACTATGAAAGGCAGAAGCTATCGACCACTTCAATATCGTCACTGCCAATTCTAAGGCAAACTGCAGTATCTGTCATCATTAGTTTTGGCTTCTTTATATTTAATCATAGACCCATTACATATAAACACCAAATTAATGACAACAGATATAGCAACCAGCCTTAGAACTGACTATGAAGACATGAAGACAATGAAGAGGAAGACAAATAGATATATAAACAAATGTCATGAACATACTGATCATTTTATTTATTTTATATGTCAAATTTGGTTACTGCCCTTCTCACTATATATATAAACCCTACATATCAACATAATTATACTCACATACTGCATGAGAATATTAGTACCTGGGGAAAAGGTTAGAAGTACAGAACTCTACAGATGAGTTCAAGGAGTAAAAAGATTAAGACCAATTGCCAGCTATCAAATGATCAGTTTCCCAGGAGCAACATTCTAAAATAGGAGTAATATGGTTCTGAGATAAACAAATGTCTCAACAGAATAAACACAAAGCAGAGCTATCATACAAGCAAACCACATTTTCCAAAAAATTAGGCATACTGTTAATTTTATTAAATTTAAATTAGGATAAATAAATCTCTTTGATAGCTATACCTGAGCAGTCTCCACTTTAAGTTTATCAATATTAAGAGTGTTTCTCTGTAATCCACTGGCAGCCACTGATAACAATTGCTTCAAAGCTTTTATATCCTCTTGCACTTTAAGCATTGCTTTGGAAGACATTCGACTGATTTCCTCCTGAACCTGTTTTTGTTCTTTTACAAACTTCCTAGGTGAGAAAAGATGGGGAGAAAATCAGAAAAAAGAAATTCCATGTCAAAATAACCACCCAAATGAGTGGTTAAGACTAGAGGTAGCAATGACAGCAGTAGCTCTATGGCATATGACAAAATGTATAGAGACTTTTACAGTTGTCATTATTCAATATTTGAAAAATGCAAATAAAACTGGTTATTATTAAAATTAATTTTAAAAGAATTCAATGTTTTAAAATCATACAGCCATCAAGAATTGCAAGGATCAAGAAAGTACTTACTGGAGATTTTCTACATCTTGACAGATTACCGGAGGTAGATTTTCATCTTTTAGTGCTTTGCTATCCCTGCCAACAGATATCAGCAAATTAGTGCCACAACAGTACAAGAATGTTTTAACACTATAGATGTAAACTTAAAAAAAAAAACAAAGTTTGTTTGGATTTTTTTCATTTCTTTTCTTTTTCTGAGTTTTCTCATTTTTTTTAAGTTTAAGGAATGTTTGGTTCAATTTTTCATTTTTGTGTATCTTAGCATTTTGCTTATATTTTGTATTCTTCTTAAATAAAGATTTAAAAAGGGAAAATATAGAGGAAAAATTCATTATTCAGCTCTCAATTCCATATGAATCACATACATTAAACATAATAATCTTAAGTAGGAAAATTCGGCATAAGTCTTTCTTCAAATTTTTTTTCAACTCAGCCAACCCAGATAAGCTTTTCACACAGCTATAAGTGTCAAAAATGAACAAAGCATTCCAAGCTGTATCATCCTGACTGAAACAGTAACATAAGTTTGATCACCAACAACTTCATTATTATGTTAGCATTTTCATTTAAATTTAATAATCCTAGACCATTAGTATATCAGTATTGTATGTTTTATAGGCATGCGAGTCAGTTACTTCTATAGTTATCATGTTTGATTTACTTACTCTGGTCTTGTTCCTGTTTTGTCACCTAGAAACAAACATTACAAGTTAGAAGGCACTTCTAGTTTTATGTATGACATTATCAAATGGACTTTTACCAGCAGAATCTTCTGTATTTTCTCTAAAAAGGATACCCACAAAACTACCAGTTTAACTATCCAGGCCACTTTCTATCAAACCTCTCAGCAAAACAGAACCAGAGCTACAGAGGGGAAACATTCTGTTAGCACCAAAATAACTTATTCAGGGAATGTACATCCTAAAATAGTTTAATCCTTTAACATGAGAAAATATGTTTGAAATAAATGTGGCAATATTTTCTGCCACAGAGCGCAATATATCAAAACATACCAACAGCAGAGATACCACGAAGAAGCAGTCCTATCCTTGGTGCCTCACAAAAAAAGCAGTCTTTAGAATTTTGGTTGAATCCCTTTAAATTTACCTGAAAATTAGCACCTGATAGCTGTTTAGATTATGACATGATTGTGCCCAGCCATGTTTTTCCAGTTGGACTTAAGCCATTCTTTCTTAGCCTAATTCTTTCCCATCTGTACTACAGGAATAACTCTGACCTACTTCACAGAGTTGTTTAGGAGGATTACAATAATGAAATAAAATCAACCAACCCAGCTTTTAAGTGAAATCCTTATAAAACTCTACTGGTATATATAAAGTCTAATATTTTGTACATTCCTTCCCCATCGACTTTGCTTGTAGGAAGCTGGCTGGGAAGGTTGCAAATGATGACTACATAACCGCAGGACACCGCAACCATCATAATGGCAAACTGGTTGCCAAGTGTCCAAATCACGACCGTATCACCGCGGGGACGCTTTGACGGCTGCAACTACGAGGACTGGGTTTACGTCCCCCACGTTCAGTGCCATAGTTACTTTGAACGATCGCTGAACGAGTGGTTGCTAAGCAAGGACTACTTGTGTACACAATTTATAATGGATATAAAACATGTAAAACAAGGCTTCATCTGGTGAAGGGGAAAATGCTGTAACAAGCTCTGAAGCTGACAGTACTAAACACCTCTTGGGCACCAAGAAACTTAAGCATTTATATCACCGGATGCTATGCTAACTGTTAAATGTACCAAAATAAATTTTAGAAAATAATTTATGTAAGAATTATTCCACTTATCTCTTTGGACCTATTGGAAAAAGCCACAGAGTATTCCTCACCTGGTAGGTTCAAATAACTCTACAAAATGTGTATTTAAAAAAAAAAGAAAAAAAGAACATACTTTTTTTATCTGAAGAGCTACTGAAATCTATGCCACCAAGACCTTCATTAACTGTGGTAGCAGGTGCTGCAGCTGCCCCAAGCGTCAAACCAAAAGCATTCTGTCCAAGCCCTGCAAATAATACAGAAATTCTTGGGTAAGAACAGATTTGGGATTTTTTGAAGTAGGATTTATTATCCATGAAAACTGAAAGAATGTTTTTCTAGGTTTATTAGCAGGAATTCTGAAACTATAAACAGAAGGGTGGAAACAAGAACCTGTGATTAAAATTTGTCCTTGCCACCAAGCCTGCTCTTCCACCATCAACAAGAATACAGAGGTCTTCTGAAGACAGAAAGTTTCAGAGAATGTATCCACGTAGGAGAACTGAAACAACCTTCCAAATCAAATTTGAGGCTTGTCCATGTTGTGTTGAGCTTGAAAATATTTCTAGTTTCAAAAAGAAATACAACAAGCTGAAGCTTTAACTACAAGTCCAAATGTTGCCCTTAAAACAGATTAATTACTTTTTTTAGTTTGAAAGGATTAGCAGGACTGATAATCCTTTAATTTATTAAATTAGATCCATGATTAAGAACCACATTTTGAACACATTTTAAATAATATGAACAATGTCACCTGTTGTAGCTGTGCTTGCATTTGGGAACAGTGTTCCTCCTAAACCAGCCAAGGCTCCCCCCAGAGAAAGTCCTGTGGATACAGTTGTGGTTGGGGCAGTGCTGCCTCCCAAGTTTAATGTAAAGCCAGAAGATCCTGAATTTTAAGCAGAGAATATAATTCAGATCCTGAATTTTAAGTGAAGGATATATCTTGATTTTTCCCCCAACAACCATATCAACGTACACTGATATTACTATTTTAATGCAGTTATTAGTACCACAGCCATAACATCAATTTTGATTTTTTAAAAAATTTAGACAAATATTGTTATGTATTCATTGAAACTTGGGGATTATTCTAGAACTCTCACATATAGCTGAAGCCATTCAGTGATAACCTTGTATACATAAAATTTTATCAATTCCTTCATGATATTCAAATGCAAGAATTCCAATAACTCTGCAGAAACTAAAAAAGGTATTTGGATCTGGAACCATGGTCTGGATCCAATCTGAATCAGTGCTGAAATCAAGTGGTTTTAAGTGAGTCATTATTTACTCTTTTTAAGTTCACAAAGAATTTGAAACTCTATTAGACAAATAATGTGACATTATTGAGACTAATATTCTCTCAGCACAGCAAGTGGACTCAAATCCTGCACCCTTGTTTTTTATTACTTAAAGGGATCTTAAACAAGGCAGAATTTTCTGTGCCTGTTAGGAGTCACAGAAGCTTCTTTTATCTTAGCTACAATTATTAATACTGAAAGTAGGCATTAAGAGCATTTAACCAACCTCAAGTGGTCTTGAAAAGATAAAGTGTGAGACCAGATTAGTATCTGAATGGGACCCAACTAAGAAATCCCAGGACTATAGGCCAAACTGGACAGTTAAAAATATCTCAGAAGGTGGCAATGGCAAAACATTTTTGCACTAGGAAGTTTAGGCAAATGGCGAATGAGAAGATCACTTGAAGACAACTATTGCAAAGCTTACCTGCTGCTGGAGCAGATGTAAGAGCAGAAGATAATGCAAGGCCAGAAGAAGTAGAAGTGATAGGTAAAGCAAATGGTGTGGCTGATCCAGCAGGTTTATTGAAACCTAAACTAAGGCCCGTAGTAGAGGAAGAAGTAGAAACAGGCGCCCCTATAAAAAATAATTATGTTTCATTTATTTACACACACACACACACACTTATCTTGTTTCCCTTCTCAGGAAGTATACATAGGGTTACCTCCAACACACATAATTTTATCTTTACAACAGCCATGCAAGGCACACTGTGATAAAGTCTCCCAGGTTTCTGTCCAATACTCATTCCATTACAACACTATGGCTCTCAGCATCTATTCATGTTCCTTTAAATTTATACAGAAAATGTATTTAACAATTCCCATTTAAGAATGCCAATCACTAACCATAAAGAGAAGGTAATCTGAAATACAAATGGTCCAAGATACTCTTTGCTTCATATACAATAACTAGAACCTCAAATAAGGCCAGAACAGTTATAATTATAAACATTAAAAAAACAATACAACAGTTATCTTGATATGAAATTATAGTTTTTCACTCTAGCATGTGTCTACTTTGCCATGGTATTTACTAATACTTTACAAGAGGAAATAGCTGAATTGTAATCACAATAAAAGTTTACCAATCATTCCTAAGCCTCACATCATTGAAATCCAATGTTTTTCTTTGGGGAATCTCCAGCTGCTGCTTCTCAGTTAAGGAAAAGGGAATGCTAGTGATTATGTACTTACCTAATGTTAATCCTGCAGCAATAGTTGTAGCTGTTCCTATATAGCAATACAAAATAAACAAATGTAAACCAAATTTGTAGATTGAAGAACAAATATGGAAATGTATAAAATTCAAAATTTTTAGCATAGGAACAAGCAATTTGGTATGCTGCAGGTATTCTGGACAATAGTTCCCAAAATCTCTAACTACTGGCCATGCTGCCCAAGACTGATTCGAATTTGCCTCCAAAACAATCAGAGGGCAGCAGTTTCCTTCTACTAGCTGGAATGTTATATTATAAAGTATCATTAGAATATATCATGATCTATGTTTGGAGCAAACATTCAAATTCAGACCCAAGTGGAAGATAATATTGTTTAATTGCATTATACAATATATTTAGCCTTTAAATACTAAACTAAGGAATAGACAGCCTCATGTACAACCATATTATTTTAGCCAAACTCTTTCCATGCCATTTAGCTATAATCTCACATTAAAATAATGGCTCAATATAATCTAGGCAATGGAGCCCTTAGGTTGGAAAGAAAGTGACTGAGAGATGAACATGACCAAAGTGTATAAAATCATGCATGGAGTGGGAAAAGTGGGAAAGGAGAAATTTTTCTCCTTCTTCCCCCTCAAAATAGTGGGACTAGGGGCCATCTAATGAAGCTGACTAGATGGAGACTGAAAAGAAAGCCATTCTTGAAGCAGCACATAATGAACATTTAGAATTAATTATCTCAGGTAATGGCACTAATTTGGATGGCTTTAAAAGCAGGTTGGATAAATTCATAGAGGACATGTATCAAAAGCTATTAATGTTGCAGACTTCATGTAGATTTCATGAAGCAGGCCCCATGCCTGCAAATACCAGTTGCAGACAAACAATAGCATGAAAAATGCCCCCCCATCTGCTGCTTACCAGAACCACAGAGGAACCTGGCTACCCACTAGGAGAAATAAAAAGTGATGGACTATGATAGACCTTGGATTAATCTAGAAAGGCTATTCTTACACCCTACTGCAGCAATTCAGTTCAAATAAGGATATTCAAATCTGAAAATAATAATACGGATATAAATTTGCTTTGAATACAAGATACAGTAATGACGACAGCCATTTAATCTGGAGAATAGTTGCCAACTTTAACATATTTATTTATTTATTGTATTTATATAGCCGCCCATCTCACACAAAGTTATATGCACAAATAAGTGAAACTCGTAGTACAAATATCAGAAGTTATCAGAATTAAATTTATGTTTTTATTTGCCCATTCTGCCATTAATTTGCTAAACTAGTTCAAGCTAAATCAATGCTTATTTTGACAGGAATAACTAAAGTATATTTTACCTGTATTAGTCCCTCCTAAGGTAAAACCTGTGGTAGGCTTTGAGCTAAAAAGTCCAGTGCCAAAACCAACAGAAGGAGTAGTTGTAGTTGCAGTAGCTGTTGAGCCCAATGTCCCAAAGTTAAGACCTCCAGTTGAGCTAAATTACAAAATAAATAATTATTAAGCACAACTCACATATGTTCAGTGTTCATTTTATTTCTTCACAGCCAGTTTTACAGAATAGCATGCCTTAATTTAAATACAATTAACTAATACTTCATTGTCAACTAAGCGAATGTTTGTAACAACTAAGGTTGTTTTTCTTTTTATACCTAAATACCCAATAACATTAACAATATTAATGCTGCTACATTTGTGCGTTATATTGTCAGTTGTTTAAACTATGATGTGTTGAACACCAATTTTGTACTAGGCAAAGTAATCATGATTTGTTTGGCTAATTTAGTCTACTAGCACCCAGAAAAAGGTACACAGCACAGAACCAAATGAGAATCTGTGTTCAGATATAAGCCACAGTTAAAACAAACTAGTCTCATACTTTAATTTGTTGCCAAAAAAATTAACCATCTGCTCTCCCCCAAAAATGGGTTCATACATCATCCTGATGCATAAATCAAAGCTCTTAATAAAAGTTTTATTAACTTGCCCTTCTAGTGTTTCCAAGAGTTATGGAAGACTAATATGAAATTATTACTATTCTGAGGGAATAGGAAAATTTAATACTGCTTCTCAAACAAAATCTTTAAGGAATCATGTTTTTCTATTCACTCTCTATAAATTTTCATATTCCAGAAATACAGTTACCTTTATTTCTCCATATACTAGCATTAATATTTACAGTATTAAGTTAAAACTGAACTTTCTTTCAACCTAAAATCCAAGAAAAGAATCATCCATCATTAAAGTAACAGAAAGACTGCTAGAGATCAATAATTTTCTATCTTCTCTATTCAACAAAACATACACCAGCACAAGTTGTTCTTAGATAGCACATTTTTTTTGTTATTGCTATTTTTCAAAATGTACCTTATGGTTATTTTAACTAGTTTACTGTCTGGGTATACTGTTAGTGAAACAACACAGAACACCCAAAGTACAATGAATTAACTCATCTACTATATTCAGCTGTAAACAATGAAATTAAACTCAGGCTTTCTTCATTGTTACATATATAGTAATTGCAAAATCAGTTTTTCATCAATTAACTGATATGTAGGCAAAACAATACATCCTTGCCCAGTCTGATGCCCTCCAGGATCTTGAACAACTCCCACCACCACCTCCTATCATTGATGAACTTGAGGGCAAGCAACTTAGGGAAGGCTGTAATCAAGTAGTTACTGTTGTGTATGGAGACAAGTTTTAAATGGACCACATCCCTATATACACGTGTAGATATATAGATTTGAATCACAGCTGCCCTATAATTATGTTCAAGAAAATGGAGGGAAAGACTTTTGAATGTTTACTATGGCTTCAAATAACTGGAGGAACAGATGATAAAACTGTAAAAATGTTTTATAGTCTTTTTAAAATTCACACTGAGAAAAAATTTGTACATACCTCCACATAAAGGGTAATAGACACTGTAACACTTGTTTTTTGGAAAAGCCATATAACTGGGCCTTATGTTTACTTCATGTCATGTTATGTAATGTATGTTTTTAATAACTGGTTGTGCTTTTACTCCGTGTTCATTTTGCTTTGTTAGCGGCCCAGAGTTAGGTAAATGACGTGGGCGGCCATATAAATTCACTAAATAAATGAATTTACCCCAAAACAAGTCTCACTAATAAGGAACTGATGGTCAAGCATTCTTAGCAGTACTTTGAAGTTACAGAAGATATTGGCGACGACTATCGGGCCTCGTTCGTGGAAAAGCTGCAATTCCTGTTGCTAATCCTTTTGTTACCAATTTCTAGTTAAGAATCTCCTTCGTTAGAACGGCCAGCGCGCTGGAGGAACTCTCCCCATCTTTGCGGCGGCCCCACGGCCTTCAACAGGCGGTCATAAAATAAAAAGAAATCAAAAACACGTGCGGAGCCAATTCCCCTTTCGGGGCCTTGAGGCATGCTTACTCCTGAGGGAAGCCTCCCGATTGGCCCTCTACTCACCTCGGAGTGGCTCCAA